GGGCTAGTCGACTAGCTATGGAGTAATTTGTTTAAGTATTCCGGTGTTTTCTGACTAGCCCATAGAATTTCTGAACTGCCCTCATAGAGTTTCTGAACTCTATGAGGGCAGAGAGCGGGACATAGCACAGAGCCCAGCACTTACAACCATTGCTACATGTTTTTGAAATGAGTAAGTGGAATTGAAATAAAAAAATGAACTGGGAACCACACTAATATTACAGATTAATAATACAGGACATTTTCCACTCAACAATCCCTCTACTGCAGGTTCTACTGCTAGGTGACCAGAAGCACTTACGGAATCACATGAAGACAAATTTGATGGGGGCCTTATTCTGGTTCACTTTAAAAAAGGAAAAAAGAGGTTAGGCCATTTGCAAAGGTTTTTTCAAGCCCTGTCAGGGCATGGGTATCAAATGAAAAATAGAGAATTATATTAAGAAAACATTTATTTTAATAATTTATAAGAAATCTAATGATTTAATAACAGGGGTAACCATGGGGTATCTTAGGTGCAGAGGGGATCATATCTGGAAAAAGTTCTTGACTAGGTTAGTGACATCCTGGTTGTTTCCTTACTCTTCCACATTCTGAGATTTCTACTTTGATTCTATTAAGAAAGTAGGGGGTAATGGTAATAAAAATAACTTCAAATTGGCCACCTCAAGGATGCTACTAGGAAGAGTGCATACTTCTTGGTCACTTAACATGTGCTGCTTGACTTAGGAAAGTGTTTCGACAATGTTGATTTCACACTGGGCACAGTACCCCAGTGGAAAGAAGACAGCTGCTTTGGGAACCTGGCCATAAAGTACCTAGAAACTTCTTCTGCCACCCAACATGTATCAAGATTGAAATCACAAGCTCCCAGCACCTACAATTAGCCCTCCATTCTAAATGCACTTACAATCTCCGGCAAGTACTCACAGTAGTAAAAAGGTGTGTGTAACCTGTAATCAGAATATCTGGGCTTGAATGTAGTTAATGGTTTGAGACCAACTGCTACCACCAGCTGAGACTACCTTCTCTAGCACCTCCATGGCCACCAGGGTCACCCTCCTTGTGCTCCTGTGAAGAGTGCCCGAGACACTGTACATGGAGCACCTACCAGAAAGACTGGCAACCTCTCACACTTGGAGAATGCTAACGTCTCTTCTTTCTCTGTGATTGGTGATCCATTTACTTAGATGAAGACAAAATGTAGTGGCACTCAAGGAATTTGCAAGAGCCATTAAGGCTGTTAAAGAGGCCTCGCTACAAGAGCTGGGGAAGATAAATATCTAGAAATGGTCTGACTCATAGGGCTACAAGAATGGAATAGAATATGACCACCACAGGCAGAGAAGGCTTCCTAGAAGAGGACAGTATGAGTCAGAACTGTAAGAATGGGTGGGAGGGAGGTGGACAGAGAGAAGTGGATAGGGCAGGCCAGGCTACGTACAAGTACCTAATGAGAATTACTGGGTAATTCCTGTAATATGCGGACTGGTCTTGCTGGAAAACTTTCTGCACATTAGAATAGCTAAATATAGGCTTTCGGTAAATGGTCACGCGCTTTAAATTTCTATACTAAGGAATTGATCTTTATCTTGTAGACAATGGAGAGCCAGAGAAGGTTTTTGAGGAGGAAAAAAAGCACAGCCAAATAATTTTGTGTGGAAAGCTCCTTCATAGACCACGATCACCACGGTGTTATGAGCTGTGCCACCGTGGAGGAAAAAAAGCCCTTTCACTATACTAATACTTAGTAAATCACTGAAGACCTACTTCAGAACTCCAAGGAAAACATTTTGTGAATCAAAAGCTAAGTACAATGTGTTAGCAATTAAATGAGATAACATAATAGCTGAGGCAGAACCACAGTTTTCCCCAACACGAATTCAAGCTGCTACAGAAAGAAATGCTTACATCATCTTCCAAGCTATCAAGCCATTTTGTTTTGATTTTCTGGAGGCGGGGAGGGAGGAAACGAGAAGAGTACGGAGGTCAAGAGGATTCAAAGCTGTCTATTCTTTAATCAGAAGGAATTATTAAGGAGAGTTGGGAAGGAGATTTGCTTAAAACAAAACCAGTCCTGGGATGAGACTCCAGTTACCGCCTGGAGCTCCCAGCGCAGAACAACAAAGGAAGGTGTGCAGTTGGGAGCAGCCTTGGCCAGAGCTTTCTGTCCCGTTTCCGGTGCATACCTCCCACTGCTACTTTATTTACTGCAGCTGGCCAAAGTTTTATAGCCTGTTTCATGTATTAAAATTCAAATGTGGAAAACATTACCAGTATCCTCCTTGAATTTTTTTGTTGTTGGGGGGAAAGGGGTGGGTCTTGCTTTTTCTTCTTCTTCTCTTTTTTTTGTTTTGTTTTTTTTTTCTTCCCCCATTTCCTTTTTTATTGTGGAATGCATCAAATGGTCAAAAGCTAACTTTACAGTGACTAAACTAAAAAACTATTTCCTTTGTTCTTATATTTTGTTTTAAAATTCATACCAGTTTGCCTAAGGAAAAATATGCCAATCGAATCTCTTTTGCTTCCCCTAGCATCTCAGGCTGGGAAACTGAGATTCTGCGGACATGTGGAACAGTTTTCAAGAAGAAAGACAAAAAACCTGCTTGGTTCAGAGGGCAGCGGGACAGGGACAGGCACATCCTTGCAGTTACACCATGATCTGGCGGGCTGCACAGTTCTCCAGGGTTGAATATTAACCATCTTCAGGAGTAAATGAGAGCTTTCACTCCTGAGCCTTATTGCGGTTATGCTGTTTTAAAAGTTCTTTTCCAAAATCAAACCAAAGAGGTGTTTATATAATAGAGACCAATTACTTCCCTTTTTAAAATTGTTCTGCTGTATTTCCTCCCCTCCCCCTTCTACTGGGGTCAGTTCAACTTCCAATCTCCACAAACACGACTAAGTTTTTCCCTTCCATCCCTTCTCTCAATCAGACTCAAAGAGGAGGCAACTCAAAGGTCAAATAGTTCCAGAAAACATCTATGTATAGTTTAATATGTTAAAGAACTACTTAACCTACATCTGGTATTTAAGAACAAACTTTACATATTTATGGAAAAGACAGTCTCTGAAGCAATGCCCCGGGTGCACGTTGCATCCGGTTAACATATGCAAAACGAACGCAACTACAGAAATTAAACTATTTTTCTCTTGATTGAGAGCAGATATACAGAAATGGTTATAAGTCACAGATCTGGCTTTTAATAAAGCCAGATTTCTTAATTAAAAGCAGTATTGTTTAAACATTGTAGTTAGAAAAAAGCTGTACAAATGAAAATCTCATATTATATGCATCCCAAGTGTATTTAACACATTACCTGAGGCCAAGTTAAATTAAAATCTAGACTTTCTTTTTGTAAACTCTTAGCAACTGCCATGAACAGACAAACAATTTTTACTCAGTGATGAATTTTTAGGGTAGAGGTCAAAGAAAAACAAAGAAAAAGAAAAAAAATTTCACTCTGGCATTCGGAAGTATCTTTCCACATTTTAGAAATGAGTTCATTGCTTCTATTTATAAACCAGTATTTTTGGTTTCAAATTGGTTGCAGGACTCAATATCATAGTGCTCAGGATGGTAATCTAAATCTTAGTGTTTTATTCAGGGACACTGAGGAAAAGGCAGAAGAATACTATCAAGGAAGAACTTGAAGGAGCTCCAAATAATTTGGATTTATTTTGAATTTCCTTTCAGAACAATCTTTATACAAGATATTCTACACTGATACTGAAAAAGAGACCTTCAACCAAGCAATCTGTAAGATAAACCCAGAAAGGACAAAACAGGATACTGAGGTGTTTATTGACTGGGGGTAAGATTGTACGGAGCAGAATCGCACAAAATGGCTAATCAAGTTAAACTCTTGATTCATTTGGTCCCTTTATTAATTATCACCACTTGATATTTCATTAAAAAAGATTCTCTCAATCTTTGTAATCATCCCAAAAAGATGCTTTCAAAAGTAGTAAGCAACAAAGAAATTCCAATTATCACGAAGACAAATCTGCTTAAATATTATTCAAATAGACTCTTCAGAAATAGTAGCAAAACTACGCTATACATTAAGTTACACAGTCCCACATGAGCTACATACACAGGCAAATTTGCCATATATTTCTACCTCCCATGTGCAGGGTTGAAAGCCATCACTTTGGTTTATTTAATTAAAAAAATTCACTATTTGAAACATCAGCAATGTACGAATTTATGTTGTGCCCACTGATCAAAGTCACCAAGATAAGCAATTTAAAACACTAACAATGACCAAGCCACTCACTCCTACACAGACACTTACATCAGTACAAACGTGTCCACACAAAAACTTACACATGAATGGTTACAGAAGCATGATATGTAGTAGTCAAAGAGTGGAAACAACACAAGTATCATTACCTAAAAACAAGTAAGCACTGTGTAGTCTATCTATGTAATGGAATATTACTTGGCAATGAAAATAAAGTTCTAATGTGTGCTAAAACATAAACTTTGAAAAATCCCAGCACCTGGGGAAGCTGAAGCAGGAGGAGTGCAAGTTCGAGCCCAGTGTGGGCAACCTAGTGAGACCCTGTTTCAAAATTTAAAAAATTAAAAAGGGTTGGGGAAATACTCAGTGTGAAGGTCCTTCACTCAATCCCCAGTACCTTATTTTTAAAAGACCAACACTAATTATATGAAATGTTCAGAAAAAGCAAATTTATGGAAACACAAAGCAGATTGGTGCTTGGTAGAAACTGGAGGGAATGTGGGGAATGGCTACTTCATGGTATAAGGCTTTCTTTTCTTTTTATAGTTGGCAAACCTGTTCAAAAATCAGACAGTGGTCATAGTTGCACAGCCTTGTGAAAATACTAAAGCACGCTAATTTGTAGATTACAAATGAACTAACTACATGTGAAGCTAACTGTATCTTAACAAAACAAGTAGCAATACTATTAAGTGAAAGATGATACCTGAAACACTACTTCTACACAACAGAGTCTACGAAGTTCACCACTTACCATGAGTGAATGTCTGTTGGCTGAAAGAAGGCCGGTTCCATACCCTGAGCCCAGGCCACCCATTGCTCCGTTATGAGAGGGTCCAATGATCCCATGCATGTCCCCGTGCCCACCAGGCACAGCTGTGGACGGGCCCACTGCGTGATTCCGGAGAACATGAATCGCATCATCCAGTCTTTCCAAGCGATCTTCAATTCGGCTTTGCTGTTGGTTAATAAATGATGCAAAATTTGATTTAGTCTGAAACGTATATGTGAGTTACATAAGGAAAACTTGGGTTGACACAAACCACACTTTCTGAATATGTTTCCAATAAAGTTTATTTCCTTAGAACAATAATATAAATAATGTCCTTCCCAGGAAACTGGTGAAAAACGTTAAATTACAGTGGCGTTTTTCATGAACAAAGTAAATCCAATAATTCTTCTGGGATGTATTATACACATATTCTACACTAGGCTGAATTAGTTTGAAGGACAATTTAGATTTACTTTAGAAGAGAAGAACATTTAGTGAATTTGAGGAACATTTTAGCAGGAACTGGCTAAAGGTTCACAAAATGAACAATGGGAAGATGATCTCTTTAAGGTTTCCCATTAAATTATCTTCTTCAAGTCACAGACAGGTAAAAGTATATAGCCTTTGATTTCTTGTTTTCTAACCCATTTCTGGTGTTTAGCATTAATACTAGCTTGAATGAGTATATGTGGGGGACGGTGTGTAGGGTATGTGTGTATATGTTGTATCAGGGCCTCAAAATTGTTGCAGAGAAAAGAAATCATAAAAATTCTGTCCACCAAAGTGATATGAAACTTTAAGACTGAATAATCAGAGACCTGAATCAGATGCTCACCGAGGGACTCTAATTGATTTTACAGCCGTGCTATAGTACTGAATTCACTACTTTATGCAACCAAGCCAACTGACCTTTTTCCATCCCACACATTAGGGTCTTAAGTTTTCCTCAACTTGGTAAGGCCTATATGATCATTTTCAGTGAGGAGAAAGAACACATAGATAGGTATTCATTTGTTTTACTGGGATCGATAATGATATCAAGTATGATTCTCCAGTGTATACTTCATGCTATCTCATGGATCCTCACTGCACATGTGTGCTGCAGGCAGGGAAGACATTAATATCCCCTCCACACAGATGTAAAAATTAGGCTCAAAGAAATAAAGTGAATTAATTACTGTGTTACACTGCCAGGAAATGGGAAAATCAGACTTGGAATCTAGGTTTGTTTTATTTTAAATCTAGTGCTGCTTTGTACTGTATCGTACTACAATCTACTTTGATTTCTAATGTGCTGTACAAACAGATGTACCAGCTCTACTGCATGAGAAAAACAATTTCTAATTATTCTATACGACAGGAAGAATGTGTGTCTAATAGAGTTAGTCTAGGGTACAAAGCATTTTGATTTGGTGGGCTTGAGAGTTAAACCAACGTCCCCCGGACTGTTAGTTCTGCTACTTACTTGACCTTGGAAAACTTACTTAAAACTTCTTTAAGTCTATTACTGTTAATTTTTTTAAAATGGGAATGATAACACATACTTCTACATGTAACTCTAAGCATGAAGAGAAATCACACATGTGTCTATCAAATCTCCTGGTTCACAGATTCCTGGAGGAGAGAGGAGTTTGTGTTTATGAAGAACCTCTTGAGTGCTCAGACTCCATAAAGAATCGAAGCTGTAATCCGCAACTCCAAAACAGCTTTTACAGCTCTGTAGTGGGACAAAACCTGGTTTTTGGATGAATGAGCCTCGGAAAATGACCGATAAAGATACACATTTAAAACAACTATGCATTATTGAGATGCAGGCTGCAGATTAATGGACTGGGTCATGTATACATTGCCTCTCTAGGCAGCTGCCTTTACGGGCTAAAATGCATAGCTAGATGATTCATACGCAGCAAGAAAGAGCACAATCCACCTCTGTACTTTCATTTTTAGATTTTCCTTAAAGAGCAAGCTAAAAGGAAAGAACGGAAATCCTAAACACCGACAAGACAACATTAAGTTAGACAAACCTATGCCTTCTTCTGTACTGACCTCAAGTTTGGAAGGCGAAAGGAAGACACAATCCTGCAGGATTAACTGGCCCCCCCTACTCACTGCCACCCCTCCCATCTGACCCCTGGGCAGACCGAATACTGCCGGGATCAGGGTTGTTGCATATGTAATTCCAGTCCCATCCACCATGAGCTGAGGAAGACTAATGTGTCAGACTCTGACTCATCCTGAGTATTTATAATTCAAATTATGCTTATGGAAATGTTCCGCTATCTCCTCCTGGAAAAATAGGCACTCCTTTACTATTAATCATGTTACTGGATGCATATGATTGAATGAGGAAATAAACGGTAGGATAGGCCTCTTGTTTGCAGGCTAAGAAGAAAACCTCCTAGAAACTTCTTACTCTGGAAAGCAAAGCAGTGATAGAGCAAAGCAAAGGTAGAATTCAAGCATTCTGGCTACGTAGCTGAGCCAAAGCTTCAGCACTCTAATACTAAGAAAATCGCGGGGAGGGAAGCATTATCATTCTGAGATTCTCAGTCTTTTATCTGGTCTTAGAATTCAGAGTCCTGGATCCTCCACAGTAGTAGTACTGGGGTCACCATGGAGAAATAAGAACAAGCAGAGCCTAATATCTTGGGTTGCAGCCCAGCTGGTGTGCTTACAATGACCTAAAGTTATAATGATGGCAGAAACAGGAATACTGCAGTCAAGCAGATAAAAAAGGAAAAATCTGATCTAAAAATGGCTGGAGATTTGCAGATGAGACATACCAAAGAGTGTAAGGGTCCTTCATAGTTGGGAGATGATGAGGCCTGGCCTCCATTTCTTGACCAAACAGCTGTGCCTGCTGACATTAAAATGAGAGTTACAATTAGAACTCTATCAACTTAAATTCAACAGTACTTTTAAGAGAGTCACTTTAGAAATAGTAATGCTGATTTTCACTTAAACAATAAGGTAAACACATTAACTTCTCAGACCAGAATTTTGGGGCAAGGAAATCTTTTTAAATATAAAATATGACTGCACACTTTACAATTCCCTCCAGCTGCTGCTCCCTAAAAGTAAACAATTTAATAGAGTCAGAATTCAGCTAGAAAAGGCCCTGGTAGAGGAACTCTGTCACTATCTTTTTTTGTTTGTCTTTTTTTCCGGTACCGGGAATTGAACTCACGACCTTGTGCTTGCCAGGCAGGCGCTGTGCCGCTGAGCTAAACCCCCAGCCCCTCTCTGTCACTATCTTGTCAAGGTGCTTTTCAGAGCACAAGACAGGGGGCTTGTTAGACTTTTATGGAAGGACAGTTTATATTCAACCAAAATTTCTCCATCAGTGGAAAAGAGTTTTGCTACTTGTCTTAAAAATGATCTAGGAAGTGAGATAAACGTTTAGAAACTTTCTTTTGTGTGTGTGTAGGTGTGTGTGGGAGTAGTGCTGGGGATTAAACCAAGAGCCTCGGGCATACTACAATACTAGTGAGCCACATTGTTAGCCTTTTAGAAACTTTTCACAGGAATAAGATTAGTTCACAGTAATCCACTAAACCGGAATTTTTTTAAAACTACATATAATAGTAACAATGAAGCAACTTCCCTGAAGAAAACAATTATTTTATGATTCACTAAACTTCAAGGTAAGGAAAGAGTCTTATTAAAATACATATTCTATGTCTAACCTACAAAATAAAAACCAATTTTAAATTTAACATACATTGAGTGGAGAAAATACATAATTCAAAAAAGGAAAGAAATAATAGCTATGATCTCACTGAAATCTCAAGCCTCAACACTGTTAGTACTTTTTAAAATCTATTCTTTCCATCTTTTCTGGGTATGCCTGTGTATTTTTATGCTAAACAAAAATAGAATATTTTGTTCAATTACTTTTCTTGACAGAATTTGGACAGAGCTGTCGGTGTGAAAATAGCAATCTGTCCCCTTATTTATAATCTTCATAAAAGTTCTTTCTTCCTAACACATGACTTTCGAGGATGCTTTAGCAGGACCCAAAAAGTGGCACCCTCAGCCTCGTGCCTCTGTGCCTTCTACCTTGAACAAGTTGCTCAGGTTGTGAATTTTCCCTGAACGGTTACATCCGAACTTTTCTCTCCCATCATGATTTATAAGGGCAGTGGCAGGACAGTGAGTACTAAATTCTCCTCCAAGCTCTGATATTACTACTGGCATAACCTTAAGTCATTTGCTCTTTCTGGCCTTGGGGCCCCTCCTGGACTCCCATATACATATCCCTAAAATCAAGGCATTGGACAACATTAGTTGTTTTTGCTTTTTAAGGCCACAGAAGATTTTATTTTTTCAAGTCAGAAAACAGATGAAATCAGAGATGTTTTGTTTCAAATGTGGAATGTGGAGTTCCCCTGCTCAGAATACCTGTCCTATTGCCTCAAGTCCTTTGGACCCATTCCTTTCCTGGTTCTGGACACTGCCACGGGAGTTATTTTTTATACCGCAAGAATCTGTGTTGCACCAGAGGACACAGCAACAGCAAACTCCATTCCCATCTGTGTCACAGGGAGTGTTTCATTATCCTCTTACAAGCATGTCTGTTCTTTCAAATTTTGCTTGGGCTCTCTAGACACATCACTTCAGGATCCAGCTGTCCCTCCCTCCCTCTTCCAATTCTGAGACCCTTCCCTACCATATGGGCTTTGAAAGAGATGATGTGAAATCCATTCTATGCCATGGCTATCACCTGAAAGCCTCATTTTCTATAAGGAAACCAGTTTATATGGGGCCATGTGAGAGTCCATACCAACAGGAGTACCGAGGATGTGACAGTAAGGCAAATGACAAAATCACTACGAATTACAGTAAAGTCAGTTTTCAATCGGGTACACGTTGCTGGTAGTCACCTGTACTCTTTCTGAAGAGTGGAGCGTGTACCAGGCAGGGCTTTCTATAAGTATTTACATGGGAAAGGGAGTGAAAAGCATCACTGAAAAGTAGAATGATTTACTTCCAGACGTAATTCTGCAACTTAAAACAATTATTCTATTTTAAGTGATAGGTCGTGTTCATTTGTCATATTTTAAAGGCAACCACCCCCTTAACTCCAAACAGTTCCTTTAAATTTATCTACAAAATTATAATTGTTCCCCAACATTCCAATAACACGCACCTCGGAGGGAATCTGGAAAGCTAAAATGTCTGCAGAAAACAAGCCACTTAAGTGGTCTAAATTTGATGACTACATTGTCTGTATTCATACTTTTGGCTATATTAACTGAGTTTTTCATCTGAGATGTTTTCCTGGAACATATTCTATTGTTGGGTGTCTTTTATGCAAAGCTGAGGTTAATGAAATACACTTTTCATACGCCTGTGTTGTCCAAAAGGATCACTTAATTTGTAAGAAAAATTTTGGATGCAAGTGTCCTGTTATATTGTAATCTGGCTCTCTCACCTTTTTCTGTTGTCTGTATGAAAATATTCTGATTTGGAAGTTTGAAAGGCAATGAGTTTTTATCTACTAGAGCAGAAGTAGAAGAGGGGAATCATTCATATAAAAGGATTTATGATGAAATGGGATTTCAAATACTGTACCTGAAAGAGAAGGGGGAGAGCCAACAGGAGTTGAAGGGTTTGATGAAAAGCTGTTGTTAGTGTGATCTGGAGAATAGATCTTAAAACAGTGGAGAGAAAAAAAAACCCTCATTTATTAGGAATAAAAAGTAAAATTTTTAAACTACAAGGCTACAAATGCAACTCATTTAAAACTTACAAGTCTCAAAATACATGTCACAAACAACTGTAGTACCAATAGGCTAAAACAAAACAGTTTTTTTTCAAAACAATTACTGAGTGGTATGGAAAAATGGGAAAAGGACAGGTTGGCAGTCTTCAGATCTAATACTTTCCCTCTGCTAGTTGTGTGCCCATGGGCGGAGCCACAGAGACACTATTTCTCAATTTCTTTTCCTTTCCTTTCCTCTAAAAATGACAGGCCAGGCAATATCATTTCTGAGGTATTTGGCCCCAACTATTTTACTGTAATAAGGGCATTTGATTCCTCACCATGGTAAGGCCCTGATTAAATAAGTTTTGCTTAGGACACAATGCTAATGTGAGTCGAATTTACTTTATGCTCGCAATGGTAAGGAAAAAGCACATAAAAAGAGAAAACCTTAAAAAAAAACAAATCTCTACCTATATTTGCAGATGATCCTGTTTAGCTTTAAAGGGATAGAGTCCCTTGGACAATTAAGGTATGCTATTTTGTTACTAGGAAGCATATGAAAAATATTCAGCTCTTGCGTCCTGGCAGTAGGTGAGTCAAGCAAAGCAGTTGAGTCCCCCAGATGTCAAATAAGGTGACTATTCCCCACGAAGCCCTGTTCTGTCATTTGTTTTTCAAATGCCTCACTAGATGTTTTAGAACTGCCCTTTGCAAAGTTGGTCTTAGCCAGTCAATGAGTATCCACATTACTTTAGAGAAAAATTAGAAATCTGCAACAAAATCTGTAAGCCAAAAGTCCCAGAGAGCATCCTGAGACCCATATGTACAGGTGGCTAGCAACCCTGTGGGAAAACAAGAAGGAAGAGGCTAGCCACAGGCTGGAAGCAAAACAGCTTTCTCTTCTAAGTTTCCAATGGGCGTTATGCAAGACAGCTAGCATTTTCCAAAAATCAAAGCTATTTGCCATTCATTTTCTAAAATTCCAAATGTCCACTTCTGATTAAAGTTCACCCTGCTACAATGGCGCACATGGAGTCCAAAGTCAATATTTCCTCACCGAAGCAAGTGCTTTCCCCAGAGCGTCTCCAGTCTGGGAGCTGCCTGCTGCCCCGCTTCCTCTATTTGCTGCAAAAACAAAGGGCAGAATATGAAAACCAGGCAGTGAGACGTCTAACAATTTTCTATTCCTGGTCCATTTACTCACAATTTAATTGCATTTTTAATGCTAATTACAACACATTAATCTTTAATTAGCATTAATTTGTTTGCTGAGGTAGATGTCAAATATATTCATGTTGCATTTTTTTACAGGTAAAATATAAACCTGACACCTCGGTTTAAAGACAAAGTGTTTTAGTTGCTATTCCTTTTCCCCTTGTTGCTTATGAGGAGTTATCAGTGACTGGTGGCAGGCAGCACGCGGCCGTCCTTGCTAAGAAGTACGCAGCACTTTCAGGCCTCTGAAGTCCTCAGTGTCCAGCTTTGTATATTTTCTACATCAAATTGAATTATCCTCATGAATAATTTACACTTGTTCTTAAATCAGGAAAATTTTGAAACACAGCAAAATGAGGTGTTCTTAGGTTTAAACGGTGAGTGAAATGAAACAAAAAACTATAAATGAGAGAAAACGCTTTCAATGTTTTAAACAATGTGTTTTCCATATATTTAAGTTTGTGTTCATGCTAAAAATTTTCCAAGGTTACACTACTAATTAGTCAATATTGTCTCAAACTCCAGAGATAAAGTCCATATATTTATGGAGCTTATCTCTACCACCTTAAATGCTGGTATTTTTATCTATAAAACAGATAAAGAATATTATTAATAGAAGGCATATATTCCCGTACATAAATCAAAGCTAGCTCATTGAAGCTGTATCTTTTGAAGGTGACTTGCTTTGTAATTAAGAACCTAAATGGGGTTGCCAGTGCTCCTCTCAGCCCTCAGTATTAAAGTAATGCCTGGAACTTGGGGAGTGTTGCAATTAATTAGGGCTTCAACGCTAGCAAAGAGGCATAGGATTTAAATAAAAATCTTCCCACAGAACATTTCTGTAGTATTTTGTGAAACACAAAAGGGACACTTAAATCAGCTGATGAGCTCAGGCAAAATGTCACTGCATACCTCCCTAACCAAGAACAGTTTCCACTGAGCCAGGGCTGGTGGCCCAGGCCCATAGCGCCAGCACTCTGGGAGGCTGAGGCAGCAGGACAGCAAGTTTAAGCCTGGCTCAGGCAACTTAGTTATGACCTGGTCTCAAATAAAAAGAGCTCAGTATAAAGGACTTGGGTTCAGTCCACAGGGCTAAAAAAGCTCTAGTCCTATCTGTGGACAGGGGAGTCCTTTTTTCTGGCTACGATGTCATCATCCTCTTCTCAAACTGTGAAGTTTCATATAGTGGTTTCATATAGTTTCATATGTTTCATATAGTGGTGCTTGCTGATCCTCAGCCATCAAAGTGTCTGCTTCTCTAGAATTTAATTTCATTCTCCCGACTTTTGCTCAGCAGAGCTAAATTATGCATTTTATTTTTACGTATTGGGCATGTCAGACCATCTTTTGATATGTGCTTTATTTGATTAACAAAACCCATATACACAGTAATTCATTAATCACCAAAATAGTGAAAGAAATAAATCTGGTAAATGATAAAATGAAAACACCCAAGAAAGCTTTGTTTTCATATCACAAATTGGTAATATTTGTTAAGTACATGAATTACTAGTACTCAGGATAATAAGTATAAGCAAATTCTTTGAAACAAGAATATAATATATAGTTGGGCTATGGGAAGCAAGTTGGACAGATATCAAACAGTAAAACATTTAACTTAAAACATAAGATAACTAAACTTATATCTAATCTGAAAAATAAGGAGAATTTCTACAGTAAGGAGTTTTTTAAAAACTAAAGACAATTTTAAAAAGAATATAATAAGGACCTGAAAATATACACAACATTACCACTTTTTTCGGCATACATTACCATGGCATTTTGGAGCAATTATCTACTTTCTTCCTACAAGCAATATTACCTTTCCATTATTATATACTTAAAAATTAAATTCGACAGCCAAAGTAATTTGACATCTGCTGGATTTGAATAAAGATCTCCATGAAACGAAAGCTCAGAGACACAATGGAAAAAAAAAAAATCATATTATCTAAAAAAGAACCTAAACCAAAAAAGAACAAGATATTGCCTCAAATATAGATAAAAATTTGCTGCAGTAGTAGCTTTCAAAAGATTAATTTTTCCTTTTAACAATTTTAAAATGAAGATTATGAATTAAAAAACTGTTCACAAAACCAAACAGAAAGAAATCAGAATCAATAAAAATATTATGTACATTTCACAAAGTAAATTATCACATAAAATCATATTTTAGAAGACACAAGATATGCTTCTTATGATTTTGTGGGTGCTATACCTTCTTAACTAAGCTTTCTATTAGTTTTATACAAGGAGATATTTAAGACTCAGGAAGTGGAATCAAAAATAGAATCAACTCCTTACCTCACCTTGTCATGAAAATGTTTCAGAAAACTACAAAGGCTACTCATGGAAGCCACTGATACGAACAGACTGTTTTTTAACATGAAGTCATTTTTACCTTGCAGCAGCTGGACAGCCAAACCCAGGGGCTTAAATTTCAAAGCAATGTACTGGGGCCAGTTCACCTTTTCCCTTAGAGTGCCTTCTGTTCTGTCCCAGGAAACACTGAAGGGGACACATTTTCAAGATTCCCTAAATATGTTAAGTGAGATGGGTTTTTCTCTTTAAAGATTTCCCTTTTTACTTCTGTGACTGATATATTAAAGGGCATACAGAATCAGAAAAAAAGGTATATGTTTAATTCTCAAGTGGCATTTGTGTGTGCACTGAGAAACGGGTCATGTTTAGCAAAAACAAAAATAAAATCCATCTCTTTGGCTTGAATGCATCAAAACTTGATTATTCTTCTATGCTCAAGTTACTGATATTATTAGGAGTCACCAAAAGGTCCATATAATAGAAGCAAAGATGAAAACTACTTCCTTTATTTGGTATTGATTTCATATTATTTTGGTTCCAATCAATTTCGTTTGCTCAAGAGATAAAGTAATGAGCCTCTAAGTAAAGCAGTAACATAAATATGAATAGAAGATGAGCAGTTAGTAAGAGGAGCTGTAATTCTGTAGGAGGATTTAACGCTGCAGCCACCCAAGTATTGTTCAGAAGGCTTGAACACAGGTGCTATTACTGGCTGCAAGATGAAGCAGAAGGGAGGGTTTCAGAGCTTGGGCTACACATTAGACCACCCTCTGTCTCATCCTCTGCTTTGGAGAGATGGCCAATCCCATCCGGACACACCCCAAATAAAACATCAGGATAAATGGTGCCTCGGGATCTACTTCTGAAAACTCAGAATTTGGAAAACGTGTTTCCCTTGTATTGCGACCTCATAACCTGAAGTGGGGAACATCATGAAGACATCAAAAGGATAAGAAATATAATTCATAGTGTTTGCCTAACAGAAGACAAATGCTATAACAGGTTCTTCTAAACTGTGTCCATATGACCCTCATGTTATTAAACTACTAGAAGCAGCCTCCTGATGCCATGAGCTTGTCTACAAAGATGATCAAAAGTGGAATGTTTCCAACACTCTACAATGACAACAATTTCAGAGGAAAAGCTCAAACATAGGCTGCAAATACTTAGCAGGCGGAATCCTAAGCAATTCAGGGGGAAAGTTGGGCCTCCTAACCATGTGCTGGGAATGGTGGGGAAGACTTAAATCAAACTCATCCATTGTTCTCCACTGGTGGTCTTTGTAACTGTGGAGCCCTGAAACTGCTGGATAAAATTCATGTTACTCTTATGTTCTTGCGCCTGGTCATCACACAACTGTATCTGACGGCTCAAGATCCTTGTAAAATACAAAGTGAGTATTACATGACTACTCCAATAATAAAATTACTGTGAAACCAAGTCCTCAGGGGAAAAGGGACAGAATGTTTCTACTAGAAAGCTGCATCCCCAAATGTATCATGTCATAAAAGCATGTCATTAAAAGTAAAAGTTGTAAGCCAGATTAATTCCTGAACCCGATATGATATTCTAGAGTAATCTCTAGCATATGGTTATTAAATCAATCTTGGTAGTCTGTTACTTCCATACTACTTGGTTTGAGGTTTAAAGCCCTGGGAAACACCAAGCACTAGAAAGCAGCCCCGTTCAAGATTAATAACACAATAATAGTTATAACCATTATGTTAGTTATATGCCTGATTCCTGGGAGGAGAAAGGAGTGGATAGCCCGAATCACAGGGCTATACTCTGTGAATGTATACAGATGGCAGCTCTAGCTGGGAGCTGGATCTCTGCAAAGGTTCCCAGCCTTGAGTAGTACGCTGGATTGTGCTAGGATGAAGGTCACCTCGCTCAGATCAGCTGGGGCTCCTCGCCTATATTATTGCAGGGAGGAAGGAAATATGTGGATAGAAAAATGTGTATGGCTACTATCCTGTAGATAGTCTCTCTGGCTGAGATCTATTAATTCATTGCCCTTCCTGTTCTGCATGTATGCTCACAGTCAGAGGCACTGGACTGTACTGCTTTTGAGAAATACCAGGAGCCTAACACGGAAAGTGTTTTTGGAATCACAGTGAAGGGCTCTGGTTCTGGTAACTCCTGAAGACTCCTTACTGCTCTTCTCCTTCACTGGTCACTACACCAGGTGACTGCTGTAATTCCTGTATTTATTTTTCCTGTCCATTACCTTCATGCAAGTCTGGGGTGTTTAAAAGACCCTTCCCATTCAGAAATGGCGAATGTAACCTCTAGAGGTTGCTAGTAAGGCTTGAGAGAAAAGGAATGAGTTATATGCTACAAAATCTTTCATGCTACAATTTCCTTGAGAATATGAATGTGCCCTTTAAAAAAAATCCCCTCACTAATGCAATCTAAGTATTATCCTACTTAAGGATTAAAAAAAAAAAAAAAAAGAGAAGAGATTAGGCACTAAAAGGGAAAAAAAAAATGGTCACTTTTCTAAGCAAAACAAGTGAGCACTTTCCTTCTCTGAGGTACAACAGACAGACAAGAAGCAAGGGAGCGAGCATCTAGACAGGGTGCCTCCTGATGGTTCTGGAGATTACATCTAATCACCAAGAAGACCTATTACCACAGGCAGCTGAGACTTAGAGCAGTGGTCTTCTGACCCAAAGGAGCAGCCCCCTAAGGTATCAAGGTCGTGTATGAAAATCCTGCACTGCTTTGTAACTTTCCACCAAGAAAAAGTGAAAAAAATGTGATGACCATGTGTTAGTGCTTGAACCCCATTCTTACAGCATTAGTATTGCTTACAGTTATTTTCTACAGAATCATGTGTGTAATTTCAAACATGTGTCAAGCTATGTGTTCCCTATTTACCAATTATTTAATTAGCTCTGTTTGTTCTTTGAGATACAGGCAACGTAATATTTCTTTATTTCCTGAGTCTCAGAATGAGTGAGTATATGCCAAATACTTTCAAAAGTCTACAGATGTAACCTATTAATCCATACTGTTTGTTAGGGAAGTATCACTAACATCAGAAGAGAAAGTTTCTCTTCTTGTTATACAGACATGCGGCTTTCACTCACTTCTACCACACTCAGAAAACCAAAGCAGAGCCTAAGAGAATGTAAGTGAGAAGAAACATGAGCCAGTGGGACTCTGTGAATACTACGATTTATTAGGATACTTAGATTGTCCTCTGTATTTGTACTTAAGGAATTAGAAAACACATTATTTAAAAAAAAAACTCGTGTTCTAGAATATTCTCCCTTGAAGTAACCTTCAACTTCTCTCTCTCTCTCTCTCTCTCTCATATCAGAAATCGAACTCAGGACCTTGCCAGGCAGGCACTGTGCCACTGAGCTATACTCTCAGCCTTAAACTACTTTCTACACTATTTATTCAAATAAGTAAGATCTTGTTCTGTCAAGAAGCTGAATTTCCTTATCTAGCTTTCTTCCTGAAAGACTGTGTAACTTTTTCACATTCTGCTAATGGATTTTGACATACTCATTGTAAGATAGTTTACACAAGAAATTCCTTAAAAAGTCCTTTGCTGAGTTCTACAAATCGTGTACTTCTCTCTTGCAATTAGCACTCCAATTATTGTCTAGATCCTTGAACAGGACTGTATGGTCTACAAACAGTTAAATCCATCTTTAGCATGTAGCTGAGCCCTTAGCAGGTGGAAGTCACCTGTCGCACCCAACGAGTAGACCCTCCTGCTAATCCACAAGCTAATGATGAGGTGGTCAGTTTGAACCGAGCAAATCTTATTCTCACTGAGACTTGGGACTGAGCTGCCTGCAGCTCTTGTAGGATGATTCACACCATCCCATAATATCTCCTTCTTTCCAAGTCATACTGCCTCTCTCCCAGGAACACTGTTTTGCAAATCAACCTTAAAACTTTTTTTTCAAAAATGCCTAAGTATGTTCTCCTCAGCTCAAGGGTCTCCTCCACCTTCACACCTTTCTGAAAAGGAAAATGAGTCAACCCACAAGCAGACAAGAAACCAGTCATGTAATAGGATGAATGACTGGTCATCCTTCTTTATAACCAAACCTCATGACTGCCGAAAGGGGCTTTCCATTTGTCAGACCACAATGAAGCAAAATATGCTTTTCTCACTCTTTCAGTTCTGCACTTTTCTTTCTTTCTTGTTTTAAAACTCGGCCACAACTGCACTGATAGCTACCCGAACTTCCCCATGTGACCACTCTCCATAGCTCTCCAAGGTCAAACTGGTGTAACACACTTGTAGACACTTTATTAGGAAAAGTTACAGAAATGGAAGCTCTTTCCTAAATTTAGTTCTCAGTGAGACATGATAGCAGAGGGCTGCGAGATGGCTCACTTCAAGTGTGAAATAAATTACTGAATAAGCAGAGTGGGTATTATTTAGGCAGAAATTATATTTGCAACATTTCAAAACAGATCTCCTTCATCAAAAACTCTCCCACATATGTGATTCACACCACTTCCTGAAGTTCTATACTCTATCTAAAGAAAAAAGAACTGCCATGGACTAAGGAATAAACAGCAGCATTAGTCTGTCACAAGATGTTCTTGGAAAAATATACACCAAGTATTCTTATCAGTGACCCTCTGGGAGTTGTGTGAAGGTCAAGCAAAGTGTGCATCTTAACTGGAACTGGAGTGGGTGATACGCAATGAAATCTGAGGCTGTAAAAAAGGTATAGGAGCATTAAGATGTGCTGCTGTTTGAAGGACAAGGTTGTAAAGGGAGATTCAGGAGTGGACAGCTGCCTCTCTGTCACCCGGACTCTTCTCTGGGAGAAGCTGGACACCCTGGCTAGATGTTCCCTGAGGAGGGCATTTCTGGCAGGGACTAGTCTTCTCAAAGAAGAGATAATAACGGACATCATGGAAAATGAGTAGGTTGTGGGTCAATTCATTGGTGGCAATGGCAATCTTCTTGGGCCTTAACACAATAAACTACTTCAAAGAGAGCAGCAGACAGTTCAGGCCCATGGACGCCCAGCTACCTCCTCGCTCCTAAGTAAACAAACACTCTTTCCCCTGAAGAGCTCCACAGTGCCATTCTCCAGAAGATCCAGCTCATCTAGTTATAAATAGTGATGTGACAATTTCACATAAACTAGTCTTCACAAGACAGTGGCATGCTATGGCACAGTGGCTGGTGTTTGGCAAATGCTGAATAACCACATTAAGAGCTATTCTGCCCTCTGTCTCACTAGTCTATCTATGATGGCTGGCCTTAATACAAAAAGTTCACTTTGTTCACTGTTTGAGAGTATATGAAGAGAAGGGGAGCTTTGGTCTATTTAAGCATTGCTCAATTTAATGACTCTTAATGGACAGAGTACTCAAATTTCAGTTTTTTACAGTGAAAAAAGTGATTATGGTCAATCCAGCGATTATTTCTGTTTGGCTCATTTGTTTATTATTATTCAGGTAAGTGACAAATACTCATTGCCCAGTTGTTGTTCAGTTATACAGGGATTTTTAAAAAGTGGATTTTATTATTAATCCCTGACATGGACTATCAGCATGAGAACTGACACATCTGTGACTCACCCATTATACTGTCTGTCCCGTTGGCAGGAGGCGTACAGGAGGAGGTGCTGTAGTGGTTTGTGCCACTACGATGGAAAGTGGACATCGGAGGAAGACTGGAATTGATGTCTGCTGAGGAGTGTGATGGATAGCTCTGCAGGAAAAGGCAGAAAAAGGAGGGCATATTCAATCACACAAGTTTTAGTGAATTAGTCTCCTAATACTTCTTCCAGTATTCTCCATTCTGCAGTGGAGATAGCTTTTACAATTTTAAAATAGCAAAGAATGTACCTTGCTTAGATCTGACAGCTTTCATTTTTCAAATAATAATATACATAGGTTTGAGTCTGCCTCAAATGTAGAGGGATATAATGGTGGCATGTGATACTGAGAAAGGAACAGAATCTCTAAAGCTCCAAATTACAGCTTAAACACATCTCCAAGATTTCAGCAACATAAAAGACCACCTTTTCCATTACTTTTTGTTATAGCCTATTGATCAAATGGAAAATATTATACTATATAATGAACAAACAACATTCAGAGCCACATGATTTAGACTTCAACTCATCCTGACCTACTGGAGAGTAAGTGGCAAGGAAGGACCCGTCTCATGGCTACTGCCTAGCAAGCTGGATCATCTTTATGAATCTCAGCAGCAAGAAGAAAACGGTAAATGAAAATAATGTACAAAGCACTAATGATGAAATCTTTTTCTAGTCTAAAGCATAAATACATAAAATCTTAAATCGTGGCTATATTGAATTAAAATTGAACCAAAAAGGAACTGAGCATAACTTATTTGATTTGAGCTCTTTCTGGACATGTTGTCTCCATGTAGCTGACTATGGAAAAAAGAACATCTTTAGAGAATCATTTGGTTTAAGACTTGGCTTTGAGTTCAGTTACTATATTAGTTGCCCAATTAAGTTACTTTTCTTGGGGCGTATGGCAGAGCCTGTGAGGTGGCAGATTCATAGCTATGTCTATCTGCTTGAGCGTGAGTAGATCATTAAAGAAACACCAATCTATTTTCCCTTTCAAGATAACACAGCTTAAAAGTGGTTCCCACAGCATTTGAATATATTAACATACAAGATAAGCTTTTTCTTCATCTGTAATATATTAATGGGATCTAATCATCACATGATTACTGGAAATACTGTTAAAACTTTTTAATTTAAAATTAGAGATAGCATATGGTATCCACATTCAAGGGTACCTAAGCCCAAGCCTTTGCTCACTGGTAGTAAAGGTATTGTGGTGTTTCCCCACTGAGTTTTTGAGAACCATGATGAGTTCTGCCCCATCCTGCAAGATTTGCTTACTACTTCCAACACCTCCTGAATCCCTGCTCTGTGTCCCCAATGCACTGGCATTCTGTCACAGGCCATTTAATGTTCAAGTGCACTGCCTTCCCTTGCTTGTGCTTTCAAGTCTATTTCCACCTAGACTGTAAGCTCTTTTAGGGCAGGGAACAGAGCTCACATCTCTGCCTATCATGACTTGTGGCTAAAGTACTGAATTCATGCCAACACTAGATGCTCAGTGAACAGCACAAAATCAGTTACAGTTTCATGAACATTGTCCTGAAATACATCATCTAGGAAATAAATCCACAGTTCAATGATGGATGGTGGTCCTTGCTGATATTTACCTCCACTCACATAAAAGAATCCAACTTAAAAAGCTGCATTGAAAAAGCAGATGTGATATGCTTAAGCTTTCCAACTTTGTGAAAATGCCTTTCCAATTTTAGATTTCATGGACCTTTTTTCTTTACCAAACAATTCTTTCGGCTACTTTTTAAAATCACTTCAACTTTGTCAACTAAATTCCCCAAGTAGTCCACGTAGTTTTCGCTGAAGAACAATAGTGTGGGCCTCTCCTGGGGCTACTCAGAAAGACTGGCAGGGCCATGTGACACCAAACTGAAAAGAGCAGGGATAGAGCTAAAGACTGTAATAAAGAGGGAAACAAAACAGAATGTAGAAGAGGAAAAATAAAAGAAAAGGAGACGGCGGCATTACTTCACTTCCACAGAGCCCTACTCTTTCCTAAGCTTTTGGAGAACAAATCATAACTCAGTCCAAAGTATTCAAAAAATTAAAAAAAGAGGAACAGAATCATCCAACACGTTTAAATAACTACTAACAACAAGAAAATAAGACAGGAAAAAGGTAATCCTGTCAGTGAGACTTTTTATGGGAAGTAATTGGGGATCTGACACACAAAGAGTTAATACTAATTGCAGCAAACAGAAATAAATATTAATCCCCATAGATTTTAATGGGGAAACCAATGCAATCCATGATAAATCAGTTATTTTTAGAGACTCATTGAAAATTAGATGCTGAAAGAAATTAATGAGATTTATAACTAGATTACTTTTCAATGAGAAGTGTCTTGAAAACTACTGTCACTCAGGGACGTAATGAATACACCACAGAGAACATTAGTGATATGTGAATAATGCCTCTCTTAGAGGATTTGGGGATCAACTCGAAGAGGTCCTTAGTCTCTTCCTCCAGCTATTACTGTCTGTCCTGCTTGCTATAAAAGCATGAGGAAAGTAAAATGACATGAGTGGCTTTCCATGCCCACTGTTTGTTTATTTTTACTTCTAATACTCAATATATTCAGAGCTCAAGGATGGAGCACGTGGTAGAAACAGTGGCTTTGGTGACGTTTTCTATCACTCAGTGGGCCAGTAATTTAAAGATTAGCAAAATGTAACAATCACCAGCACATAACTAATAACAAATCATATTTTGGTAGGGCCTCGTAGCCTTGCCATTATTGATCTTTTGTGCTGGATACGTCTTCCTACACACTAGACTACAGCTTTCCTACCCACTAGACTACAGTAGTACCTAACCACTAGCGCTCACAACAAAAAACACCTCCAGACATTGCCACATGCTCCCTGAGGGGCAAAGTCAGCTCAACCCCAGCTAAGAATCACTGGGGTAAGGACTTATGCTACAAAAGGTAAAACACAACAGAACTTCCCTTCTACTGAAATGTCAGACTCTCAGGAATACTTCACTTTGTAGTGCAAAGACCATGCCTAAATCATGCCAGACAGTGAGGACTTGATCTTATTTTGAGAAAGACTTGCCAAGTCATTCCAAACTTAAATCTTTTATAATGGCCCACTGCAAAGCCTAACCACAAACTCCCTTCATCTGGGTGACTTTGTGTATGTATCTGCAACAAGCAGTGATTAGCTGTGGGATTCTCTTGTAGAGGCTGAAACTGTCAAGGGGATTTAAAGACTTAAAATTGGTGACTTGACAGTTGCTACTGAAATATGTGGATTTTAAGCACTATAATTACACATTCTATTATCATATGGCAGAAAGTGATCAAGGCCATAATGTTTTAAAAATGCTTTACCTGTAGAGATAGTACTAATGTGGTCAAATCATGCCCAAAATAAATCGAGGCAAAACTCTCTTCTCTTCCTTAAATGGTCCCTTTTCTCAGCATGTGACTAGCCAAATGCTATGGACCACATTTATAAAGAATTACAGTATTTTCAAGTGAAAAGACACCGACTGCTGCTATATATTCAAATTATTTTCAATCAGTGTCAAGTTCCTTGAGTAACTCCAGTAAGAGATTTTCATATGGTTAAATTCTGAAATTACAATGAAAACTAAAGGTAATAATTCAATAGTTTCACTCTCAGTGGGAAAACTCATTAGGGTACATTACCAGACAACTTATTCATTTACCCTTTAAAACAAAAACTCAGTTCTTTCAGATGTGCCACCTGATCATTTTAAGATTGAAAATATTAATTTTGGTAATAGATACGCTATCACAGACCTAGCATCTCATGCGGCCTATTGGGTAATACTTCAAAATCACCTTTCTGGTTGGTAATATGGTACTGGTTCATTAAAATTTTTTCTAAAAAAGTACAGTTGATTGGATTACATTTTTAATGCATCAAGCACAATTTAATGATACCTCCCTCATGCAGTGGACTTAATTAGAATAAAATCAAATCATCTAATGCAAAATTCTAGAGCATACTAAGAAAAAGGCAAGGAAAATCAAATGGACAAATCTTCAAAGGACTGAATTTCCAATACATTAGCATAGTGCCAAAATCTTTTATTTGTAATTAAAACTTTCCTAGTTTTGATCATGAGTTCCTAGAGATGTACAAAATGATAGCAGAGAAACAGTGTTAGCCAAAAGAAATTCTAATGTAAAACTTTCACTCTAATACATCTAAATAAGATGTAGGAGCAGAAAAACTTTAAAAGTCAGTCATCTGCTATTTACTGGAAATGTGCTACAATTTGAGATATTTTGTGATTTCCGCACTTAAAACTGGGAGCTAATAAACAAAGGCTAGTTCTAGCTGTACCACTTGTCTCGCAGAAATGTGTAGGCTAACTGACCATTCAATGTCACTATCATTAAATTCTTAATTTAGCTTGGACCAATTAAATATGTATTTTTGAGGATATCAGAAAACTTTTGCAGTCTTTTTGACCGTCAGAGTAGGACATAAGACCTTTTTAATGTATCTACAGTGGTTAAACAAAAGAGAGGAAAGACCACAGACAGTATTATTTCCTTTATCAGAACAGAGAAAGAATACTAATGTGGCTATGAGAAGAAACCTGGATAAACTGCAAGGTGAAGGAGACTGATACAAATACCTATATGGACCTTAGATCTGCCATGTCCTTGTGCATTTGCAGGACTTCAAGCCTCTATTTTCTTTTTACACTATTCCATCTGATTTGAATTTAAAGGTAACACATGATCTATATTCCTTCTTAAATTCCTAAGTGGATTCTGAACTGTGGTAGCTTATGGATCTTGAAAGTCAGGCGAGCTGCTTCCTCCAGCATAAAGAAACATACTAGGATGACTGAGTATGGAGTGTCAGCAGAGCAGAAACGTCTAGCAGTAAAAGACTTAACATTTTATAGTCCAGCAGTTTTTACCTAAAGTAGAAAATCAGTGGCAGATTGGAGTGTGTGGAGTTAAAGTTAAAATATGGGCACCTGGAATCTGATCTATGTGGACATCCCAGAGCGGTACTACTGATAAGAGTGTTTAGGAAATAAAAATTCTTTCCTTCAAGTGGATCACAAGAGGTCAAAGCTGACACGGAAGTGCTCATGTGTGATGTATAAAATGTACTCTAAAAGCCCGCTATCACTCTGATCTGCAGAGTACATGAAAAGGACAAAGAACACCATAGCTGAAATCTTGCAATCCAAATACAGTGTGTTTATGTACGAAAAGATGACACGGTGATAAAGCAGAGAAACACAGAGAACAAAAGAACAATGATAAAGAGGGTCTAGAAGCCTCCAAAGGTGATCTGATTCTGTTGTGTCTTTGATCACAGAAACAATGCAATGTAGGAATAATGGATGTGTGCTATTTTTGCTATTTATTAGCACTTGGGAAGACAGAGGTGAGATTTATCCCCATTTCTCTGTAAGTCGGCCTTACCAAACGTTCATGTGGATGCAGGCTACAGTAGCTGCTGGACTGTGGAATATGAGAAGAATTGCCCAACATTCCTCCATAGCCAGGCTGATTCATCCCACTGGAGGAGCTCCAAGGGTCACTGCTGTGATGACCATCTGTAAAGGACAAAGAAAGCCGTGACTTTCTGAGGCATTCAGCCTTGCCTTATAGAATAGGGTTTTTTCATATACTTGAAAATGACCGCCTGTTGTGTATTCATCTTTGTGTTGGTAAGCTGATTACATCAGAAGACAGTCATCATTATTTTTCCACCAAGTGGTTCTATATTGTCAAACAAAAACATTGAACAAAGTTAGTGTTCTTAGTAAAAATACAACTCTAAAGGAGTAACAGAGCATGTTTCTATACAAAATTTTGTCAAGTCAGCAAAGTAATGCCAAAGGAAACATTAGTTAGAAGTTTCTGACCCCCTTTTCTTATGAAAACCACATAAAAAGTTAAATTATTCCTAAACTTTGAGGTGAAAATAAAATAGTTGAGACAGAGTTGGCAAGTGTACAAGTTTCAAAAGCATGTAAAGACATAAACAATGAAATGTGAAGAACAACTCAGATGTAAAATGCTAGGTTTCGTTCTTATAACACCCATAATAGGATGAATTACTGATGAAATTATATTATATAAGGAAGAGGAGTTTCAACTATATAGTACAAAGTTTTTAAAAAATTTTAGATATGAAGTTATTTTAAACTTCCAATGGCATTTTTAAAAGGACATACATGCTATGAGAAAAATTTGAGAACCTCTCCATTTTAAGAAATTATTTATGACTTAAAAAGAGGTTCTAAAGCTACATGGAATGGATATAAGTTGTTTTTAACAGGGTGTTAATATTCTGTTGATACCAGATTAAAAACATTCGTACTTTTTCTTTTCATTCTGTGGTCCTAGAGGTCATTATTAGTGATTATTATTGTTTGTTTTTTCTTTCTCAAATCAAGGAGCAAAATATGATCTAAAATAACGCAGAATTCATTTATTCTTTTTCACTTAATAGTTGAACAAAAATTGAGTTCTGGATATTTACCAGGCCTTTATCTGAGTATTAAATTTATAGCAGGTAATATTTTCTTGAAATTAAGAGTATGAAAATGATTAAAGTATGTTATGTGCGTGCAATGAAACCCATTCATCTGAGTTACCAATATGCACTAAAAAAATGCCAAGGGAAAAGCTCTTGATCAAGTTGAATTTGACACTGTATCTTCACGAAGCTTTTTGTTTTGTACCAGGAACTGAACTCAGGACCTTGTGCTTGCCAGGTAGGTGCTTGTGCCACTGAGCTATATCCTTGGCCCATGAAGCTGTTTTTCAATGAATTTTTAAATCCAGAAGTTAGAATTTCAAAACTGGACTAGCTTTAGAACAGAAAAGAATAGATGGGAGATTTAAGAACTACACAAGTGAAATCACGCCTGGAATTAAAGCGGAAATTAAAGTTAAATAGAAGAGGCAACAATCTGGGTTTAAAATGTGCCCCAGTCTCTACATGTCATTCACTGTAGTACTGCACTATTTCACGCCTTGAATTCTCAGGGTACCAGGTACCCCTCTAGCGAAGGAAGAAGAGATGAGACAGCAGTCACGATGCCGTTGTTCCTGTGGTCCTCAGATGAAAACCAGTTTTTTGAAGTGCTGTTTACTGAACGTGCTTTAGTCCTGAGATTACAAAGTTTAAATTCAAATCTGAAGTTCAAGACCACTAACACCCTAAATAAACTGCACGTCAGACAAATAAATACGAGTCTCTTGAAACATTCTGACACGATGCAATACATGCAATACAGGGTGGCAATACATGTAGGGATGTTAACACAGAATACTTGATGCAGACTTATAAAAATACATATTTTACATAAATTATGCTTTTCACAGTAAATTAATATTTATCACATCCTATGATCTTGGCATAATGTTGTTTTGAAAGAAAAGAATTAGACGTGTGCAAATTAATTGTGCTCATCAGAAATGTCAAGTCATTTTTTTTCTTTTTGAGTGTTCATATACAGAAAAACAAATTCACTCCTCTTACTTTGTTTAGTCTGCTATGGAAGCACGCTTACTATTTGAATCTACCTGGCTAACCCTGTGATGTATACAGTTCAAGGAAGCTACTTTCCCAGCCAGAGGGAAGCAGCCTATCAGTCAATGTTCTCAATGAAAATCTGTTCTAAGTGTCGATCCCTGGAGTTGGTAACACTTGTAAGACAATTTCTACCACTGCTCAAAAAGCAGGGAACTGATGCTGTAGTACCTGGCAGTTTACTGCAGAAGGTAATTAAGTCTTTTATCATGGCACTGACACACCCAAGTGATGAGTTTGCTGCATCCCTCTGGGAGTTACACCTAGAACAGGTCACGAAGATAAAGGATCCCTGAGAACATAAACTCCATTACATGTGGAACATATTCTCTATCCCTGAGGGACCCATATGATTCAATTTTATAGACTTTCTTTCCATGGAATTTCACATGTTAACTAGAAACCTAAAAAAAGCTAACACTCTGAAGTGAAAAAAGATAAATCTCTTTTCATCAGAAGAGTTTCTAGTGTGTCCACTGTAATCCCAATGAGACGCCAGACTGCTCAGCTGGTGCGTTTTGCCTCCTCTTCCTGTGACATAGCCCTTCTCCTAGTGGCGCAGAGAAAGAAGTCTCATAGGTTTTCACACCCAGGCAATACACACTCAAAGTTCTGAGCACAGGGGTCCTTGGTAAGTCCACACTTACAAACAGGGGGACTTGGCAAAAGGATCATCACGTTTTAAAAATAAGTGTAGCAGATATGTCAGGGATGGAGCTCTAAGCAGGACATTCTTGAAGTAACTGCTGTCGTTTCAGACACCTCAGACTTTTCTAGGAAGCAGCAAGGAGCTATGCTACCAGAGGTAATGCTGTAAATTCTGCAGGACACACATTTATCTGCATTTAATTAACCACAGTGGACAATTAAAAGACTAAATATATCTTACCAACCTATAATCTTCTATATTCTGTTCCCCTGAAAAAAAGTTGTTTTTTTTTTTCACTCTAAGTTAGTTAGCATGTTGGCACAGAGTTTTCACCATGTAATATTACAATCTTTAGCTGTTTTACTTCAACTTAATGGACACTGTCATTACTCCCAAATTAATAAGTGCTGAAATTTCTATCAGAATTATACCTAAGGAGAATCTCTCCCCTGTTGGTTAAATCCAGGATGGTTAAAACATACTCTGAACTTAAATACTTCTAAATGTAACGTGTTTGGGGAATGACAGAGATACTTAAGAGGTCAGTCCTAGCAGAACAGCAGAATGGGTTTTAGGAGAAGCAGATCAATGCAATCACAACTTATTATTGCTCAAAGGATTTTACTTTTTACAGAAGTTTTAGAAAAATTTTAGTCAATTAATTTTTAAGGAATTCAGTTCCTAGAAAAAACATGATCTCTGCTGTACTCCATCCTTGTCTACTGCCCTGTTTATTTTGCTCCTTAGATCACATCTCAAGGCCCAACAGACTTTCCCACATATGACGAAGAACCTTACCTTGCATGAAGAAGGAGCTAGGGAAAGTGCTGGCTGCTGGCTTTGAGGATGGGTAGCCTGGTGAGTCCCTATTGTAGTCGGCAGTGCTTGCTGATGGAGCGTAGACCTGAGGAGGGAGAACCAAGTGAATTTTGCTTCCTGTGTTGGCCAAGTCATCTCAATGTCCATTAGTTTATAAGACTCTAAATTTCTATCCCTATGCAGTCTCAATCCCTAATTCTAGAAACACTGCTCTTTTAGAATACAGCAAAACAAAAAAGAAAATGCTTAATATATTTGGGTGAACAAAATAAATAAGCAGATATTTTCCAGTCACAGACAAGAACACGGTAAACCACGTCTGGTTGTAAATATCCTGTGGAATATCCTTAAGGTGGCCCTGAGTCTAAGCAGTCCCCCTTTTTGTAAACATAGATGGCCCACAAGCACGCAAAAGGTAAAACCAGAAAGACATGCATCAAGCCTTTCCCAAAAGACACACAAAAAAACCTCTCCTTTTCAATCACAATTTTCACTTTTGAAAGGAGGCAGGGACTGACGGAGGGGAGGAAGGAGGAATGAATCATCTAGGCCACAGAAAGCAATAAATATATCTTAGACTATTAAATTGTCATAGTGTCAGCTTTTTGCAGAGATGCAGTAAAAGCCTGGGTCTACACAAGACCACCAACACTCCGTGCATACACCGGAAGAGGGGGCTCCTCTACTTACTGCTTATTATATTTGTGTGTACAATAAACTTTAAAAGTGTGCCAAAAATCTAATTTACTGATATTTGTTTACTAATACTCATGAGACTTGGGGAACTAGTTCTTTGTAAAAATAGCCTGTATATTTTCTTGTTTATGTTTCCTTTAAACATAAGCATAGTAGAAAAGTATTAATTCATAAGGTATAGTTTAATTGGTTTTCCCCCTTCCTTTTCTGTTAAATATAATTTTTAACCCCCATTTTATTTTGCTCTAAAAGTTCCTCTCTCCAGATGGTCGGAAAGACTGAAACACTGTCATCCTCCTGATGAAAATGGATACCTTCCTGCCTCCATTTTGAAGCAGGCAGCGGCTTACAAAATTGGCAGTGAGCCTGCAGTGATATTTACAGGTCACAGTAAAAGGAAAAGAAATTCACCAATAAAAAGGAGACTACAGGGTTACCAAAAAATAACTCCAATCTCTTTTTTACAGCACACATTGAATAAACACCCTAAGAAAAATTATATAATTGCTCTCAGATCACCAGGAATCACAAACTAAGCATTAATATAAGGTTTAGGATTTCACAAAGGATAGGTCCATAGGGACAGATGTGGGAGAATATGTACACACATCCATATATCACATAAATGCTACATTTGTCCTCTCAGTGTCCTTGAAAATTGGGAGGTCCTAGAGATTACACAAGACAAAAACATACAGAAAACTCTTTTTTTTTTTTTTTTAAGAAAAACTCACATTTTAGAAAACAAGGACTTTTTCCTAACTCACAAAGGGAGTTAAGACCTGCATTTCATAGGATTTTATTTTGTAATTTTCTTCACAGTTTAAACATATAAAGAGCAATTTGCTTCTATTTCCATAGGGCTCATAATAACGAGAAAACAGCATTTTTCAAGTGTCTCTAAGGAACAAATAATAAAATGCAGGGCCAGAATCTAAAACCAAATCAATAACCTAAGATCTGTCTAGCAAACTTGAATATTTTCTGAAGAACTACTTAGCAGTTTGAGAAGTGCAACTATATATATTTAGAGAAAGTCTGGAGTGATGGCTAAAAAGATGAAAGAAACATCACCTTCTAGGAAAAGGGAAAACTAAAACTCAGATGGTTTCACGGTAATGCCAGTATGAGCACTACCTGACTATAATATATGGTATGTCCACATGCTATTAGGCTGACATGCACTCGGCCAGTCCACACGGTACGTTTAGGCTTAGTACTATGTATTATCCCCCTATTTCAGGAATCAATATATGTATCATAAAACTGAAAATAAACTCATATTAAGTCACCCTGTTTTAAAAAATGAAATCAATTCTTTTTATACAGAGCTTAATTTTAACTATATTTTATTACATTACTTTTAAGCATGTATATTATTATGTCAAGGCTATTTGATGATACCTATCAAATTTCATCTTTTTTTTCAGTTTTTCAATTTTTGTGGTGATAAAGAAAAATTTTGGTTAATTTTAGTAATTTATAAGAAGACTACTGTGACTCTGAATTATGATCACATCTAAGGGTAATATCACTTCAAAATCCTAAATACTGCCTGCACAGGAAAGACTATCTAGAGTGCTAGATGTATTATATTGGGTACTTTCTAGTGTTTAGTCAATGAAAAATTTTAGAAAAGATGAAAATTCTATTAACAGAAAATGGAACATTGTTTACAGTTTTTTTAAAAAGCCATTTCTGTACACGGAATTTCTTTATACACTTCATCTTTCTTACTTGAACAGTTGTATTTAAAGTAGCTCTCTGTATTGTTTTTATGTAAATTAAAATAATATACTTTTTAAAAGAAGGAGATAATGAATTTATTTAGCTCAACTCCCTATAATTTTTAAATCAGAAAATTCAATAGTGGAACAGGCAAAGCAACTTGCTACAGACATATAACTATCCATTCTTTATTTCTCAACATTTAATAGGTATTTCTTTTTAAGATGGTAGTGAAGGTAGAAGGTATTAAAGTAAACACAGTGAGCATAAAGTCCATACTTCAGCCTGTGTTTAGTGTTTTAATTTTTAATACCCAAGATGACCAGTGAGCTGTTTTACTATTTTTACTGCACTCAATTATTTTGCCAATTTCTCAATCAAAAGACTTCAAAGTACAGGCTTCAATAAGGTTTTAATAGCAATATTAAATTCAATAAGAAAAGCTCACGTGTATTTGGGTTTCACTATTATTATTCTAGGTATATAAAAAAGATTACTAACACAATTGGAATTGCTTTTAATATCTAACACCAGAAAATCAGTCCAATTTGAAATGAAGTAAAAATCCCATGCTCTAGTACAATACAGTGAAATAACCCCAACAATGAAACCTGAGGAAAACCTAATGGAAAACAAAAATCCACACTTAAATTCTTTTTCAATAAGGTGGCTTAGATCAAGGTGACTATTGGCATTCTGATTCTCCCCATAAGAATAACTAAAGAAGTGAGAAGTTTTGTTGCCAAATTGGAAATGGGGAATGTTGGTCGAAGCTCACAGGGCATAGCTCTCTTACTGAATTATTTGTTGAGTAACAGCCTCATGGGAAACTAATAGCACAATATATTTCATATTAAAACAGCACCCTCATCGTTTCTCTTACAACCTTGGATTTAAACAAAATCATACACAGAAATTACAGGCTCAACAGAGCTCTAGCTAATACTAAACACTGAACTGATACAAGTAAAAAGTAAGTTTCACTTTACAGATTTAATTTCTGCTGTAATTTGAGAGGTACTTCTGTGGTGGCATGGGCTGCTGTTGTTCCCAGCTATCTTTTCTGTAGTCATCAAAGAGTAACAGTATAATAATACATTCTAAACAGAACCTCTGAATATTAGCAAAGAAGAAAATCAAACAAGCACGCAAACCAGCAAACCCTGAGAGGGGAGCATATCTCCTTTGCTACCCAATGCTGCCATTTTTAATAATCCTGGTCTGTCAGTTTCACTTGCTGAAATATTAAAATGACAATGCCGACCATTTGGTTGGTTGGGGCCTCCCATGGAAGAGTTCTTGTGGCAGGAATTCCAAATACATTATTTCTAATCTTCATAATGATCACACGAGGTGGTATTACTATTAGTACCATTTATAAATCCTAACACTTCAGTATTGGATTGCATACCGGCAGAGAGGCATAATGTACAAGCCCAAACGAGCCTGGGTCTGATCACACAGGTTCCACTAATTAACTAGAGGTGACTGTGGAACTGTTATTTTCACTTTTCTAGACTCAGATTCCTACATGTACAATGGGAGTCACAATGCATGCTATGCAAAGTTCTTGTGAGAATTAAATGGTGTAATATGTATAAGGCAACTAGATTGGTATCTGACACATACTAAGCATTCAAAAAAGAAAAGAAAAAAACACAAAAACCAGGCACTAGGGCCTGTGGAAAAACACAACTCTGGAAGGTTAAGCTATCTTTCCATATTAAAAATCTGCCAAGTGATAATTCAAGATTTAAATTAATTATCAAAGTCTATATTCTTTCTAATAAAAACAGTTCCTTTGTCTTAAATGGAAAAAAAGAAAAAGACAATATTTTTAGCTACCACAGAATCTATATTTTGATCAAAGTTTACAGAAATGATCTTGTGGGACTGGATGATTCATTTCTCAGAAGGCAAAATGTCTAAGGTTTGCTTATGGTGGAACCAGGTAGATGTGAAGAAACCTGACTCCTGAAGGGGAAATGGTAACTGTGAGGGACAGGCAGAAGTGGCTTCAGACCATGTATTGTGAGTAATGTTACTATGCAGGGTTGGGTGACGGTCACCAATTCCCCAGCTGACCTGCACTATTCCTTTGCATTACTACTAGTGATTCTGCAAGAGCATTGTATATAATTTACCTATCACATACAATTTCCCAAAAGAATCAGAATAACTGAAAAATTATAATTAAGATTCAGATCCTTACAGTTTCTGTACGCCCTGCAACTAGTGAAGCGTAGCAAAGCAGAATGATGCCACAGATGCCCAAGTATTAGCTAGGCTTACTGCGTAACTCAGACCATTGGAGATTGCACAAAGTTTCTCAACTGCAACAGTGAGGCACTCAGATAACAAGAGCTTACCATGAGCTGGTCAAGTGCAGAGAGTTAGGCACAGACTTTGAAGTTTCCCAGCATCTGATGTGGAAACTCACTCAGAGGCGATCTGCTCAATAACCACACAACTTGGCTGGGCCCTCAATTTTTACAGTAATTTTTCAAAGACATGGGTCTTCGTAAGAAGGAAGAATGGATCAAAGTCAGGGACATCTCCACATTAAGAACACCTGGGATGAGCACTCTGATTATTCTATGTGAGCAAGTTAAAAGCTATCTTTCTGGTTGACTCACAAAGCAAAGGGAAGATATAGTTGAT